AGATTAATTAAATTTTGAATGTAACTCTGTGAAAGGTCACAACATGTGCACTTTAACCTACCCATAATGAAAGGGTTAAGAAATAAAGTTTCTCAGATTGTTTTTATAATTGTTTTTTGCAAAATGATAAGCAAAAGGCAAATTCAGACTACACAAAAATGGGAAAGTAACAATGCTTCTAGTTGAGAAGACTCTCAAGAAAAGTCTTAAAAGAAAAGAATGCACATGTATTGCCTGTACACAAGGCTGTAAGTGTTGATTAAAAATTTCACACTGGCTGATACACTATTTATAGTTACAATTACTAAACTTACTGCAATATCCAAATTTTATTCGTCAATCTAGAATATAACTATTAAAAGAGTAGTGGATGATTGCCTGCTAAAGAAAGCAATAATTTATTTTCCAGTGCTCACAACTTGAACATTTTAAGTACCACTGTCATTCAAAACTTTCAGTAAACATAATGTACGCATAAGAGACTAAAGTCTGGTAAAGATGGCTTCAAGAATATAATTTTTAGATTGAATGAAATTTTACCTAATGGTCATCTTTACAATTTTGAAGTTCTACTGCCAAACAAAGCAAGTTATAACTTGATAGTTATATCTGTGTTTACTTTGAATTATCAGCATTTGTTTCTATGAATGATTTCTGCAACTTTTATTTGCATGTATACCAGTTTTGGCTTATTTTGGGTTGTTAATTAAAATACTATCAAAGTTCTGTATTCATAGACATACTTTTTTTTGCTTTTCTTCATTTATAGTAACAACATATAATGAAATTCGAAAACCTGCGTCAATTTTATTATTTCAAAAGTGAATATTGTTCATAGAAATAGTCTTGGAACAATGTTATACAGTGTATTCAAGCACATGTCTGCTGATATGCTTAGACTGGTCTTGTGGTACTTTCATGTGGCTTTATATTTGTTCAGTTTATTGTCGTGGTTGAAACTCGTTAGAAGTTGATGGTGCAAACTGTATGCTGTTTAGTTCATTATGATACAAAGATCAAAGCAAAGTACTTGTGCTTGATTTGCATATGGGGTGTTTTGCGGTGAATATTCGGTACCCGGGGGATCAAATCTCGTGTGTCCCGACAAATTCTCTGGTGTATGAGGCCCAGGAATTCGGGTTAACTAGAATCCTGTGAAGTTTTCGTTTTTGTCTAATACTGAAATAATACATTTATATACAAAACTGGACCAAGTGCAGCTTAGTGGCTAGAGTGCTGGACTCTGGATATGGGGTTTGCATCCCATTACTGCCTGGGTGGTTGACTAACTGCCTTCTCTCTCTGGTCTATTACTTCAAAATGAGAGACGGTTAGTGCAGAAATCTCTCAAGTAGCTTTATGTGCAATTCCACAAACAACAACAATATATATAAAAGTAACTACAGTTTTGGACTTAAGTATAAATGTTAGTTACTAAATTTCAGTTTGCAAGTGGGTCTAAATGACTTTCTATATTCTGTTCAGTTTTCTTAAGGTATAATTCGTGTTGTTTTCTTTATGTTAATTGACAATTTTCTGTATTCTGCTAAAAGCTTTGATGACTTGGATGTTGAAGAAAGCAGCAGGATGTGCCTCAGCCCTCCTTGTTGCGATCATAACTGGTTAAAGGTAGGACCATTACTCCAAGCCAAGTTCAAGCACTACTGTGGACAGGGAAAGGCCCGACCAGATCCAGTAATTATACAGGGAAAAGCATTATGGATCAAATTCTTTACATCATCTGTTCTCAAAGGGGCAAGAGGATTTAACCTATCTTATATTGTAGGTAAGTGTATGTAGTGTTGCTTTTGTTTTATACTGATCACTGCAAGTGGAATCCACATGCCGAGTAATTTTATAATCTTACATGTTACAACATTTAGTGTATAGAGCTGACCAATCAGACTGGGTGAAATCATGCAGTTCTGTGTAAGAATATATACTGAACTATAACTAGTAGGATTAAATGCAACAGAAATTCTGCAACTTGTCCTTATTTTTGTGGGACTTGTGTGTTGTAGGGATTTTTTTAACCAAAAAAGTCATGAATTCAAATGCAATTTGGTATTAGATAGATAAAAGAAAAAAAAAAGTACTAAAATGTTGTAGGGTTAGGAACAGCATAATAGTCAAGTTAGAAATAGGTTCAGATAGTGCCGCGACTATTGATGAATGTAAGAAACATATTTAGAAATAGTAAGTGTTCCAAATACGTGACTACTGAACCTTCATTTAACAGAATATGAGTTTGTTGTTGTTTTTTATAAGTAAAAGGAAACAAATAGAAGAAAAAGTTTTCTTAAAATTTCTTGGATCTCCTTTTAGGTGATAAGAATGCAGATCAATGTCAAGATAACGAGTTCCAGTGTAACAATAAAAAATGCATTCTCAACAGATGGCGCTGTAATGGATTTAATGAATGTGAAGATGGATCTGATGAGATATCATGTTCAGGTGATTGTTTGTTTGATAGTAATTGTAAATGATCTCGTACTTTCCCTTACGATGGTATAATTGAGTGTAAAATTTAAATGTAGTTTGTTTTTCCATTATGCTTGCCCTTTAGAAATATATTTGCACCGTTAACAAAAAACATTAGAAATGTAACAGTGTTTTGGTCAGGTACTGAATATTTAGTTGATGAATTAATTAAACAGTTTCATTAGTTTTGCAGGACACTGAAAACCATGAGACCTGCTAGAAGGTGAAATTTTGGAGAAAGTTAAACAAATTACAGGCTGATTAAGGTGCAGTAAGAATACTTTAATGAAGGATTACATAATAACTCCTGTTGAATACTTACATGGCTCTCTCTAGTGTCTAGAACTGACAACAATATTTTTTTTATAAGATGAAATTGTTTTGTGAAAAGTAGCCTTGCCTGGACATTTCCATTTCATCTTTAAATCTCAACCAATAAATATGGTGTTGACTTGGCAATGGACATGTCTATTTCTTCTTTAAAGCTCGACCTGTAGAAGACCCTGCAACATTGTATTGTGTGTGTGTCCAGTTTTTTAAATCCCTGCCTGTAGTATGCTCTGCAATATTATGTTTGTTCAACAATGGACATTAGACTGTGTTCAATTCTTCTTTAAGTTTCAAGGAATTGTATGTCCTGCAATATGGTGTTGCATTAGCTTTGGATATTCTAGTCTATATTCAATTTTTTAAATCTCAACTTGTTGTGTTCCCTACATTGTGGTGATGTCATAGCAATGGACAGTAGTGTGTGTGTCCAATTTTTTTGTAAATTCCAACCTGTAGTATGCCATGCAATATAGTATGGTGTTTAGAAATTGATGTAGTGTATGTCCAATTCTTCTTGACAAAGCAGTCTGTAGTATGTCTTGCAAAATGGTGTTGTCTTTAGCAATGAACACTAGTCTATATCCAGGATTTAGTGTGGTCTTGGCAATGGAAACTAATTTATGTCTAGTTCTTTTTTAACTCTCTTGTCATGGGATGGGTGAATTGACTGACCATGTGATTACTTTGTACTCATTTAAAGTTGTTATAGTTTTGATAGTACTAACTTTTTTATGTAGTATGTATATCTTCACAAAATTTGGCAGACTTTCAGTAAATATTACAAGTCCTTCACATGCAAAAAATTTGACGTTTTAGTGAAGTATTTTTGATAAACTAAAAAACATTTTTCCGTGAATATATCAAGTCTTGAGTGCAAGGTGATTTTCATATTGAGATTAAAAATACTTTTCTTTATCTCAAAAATCTCAAATTTTATTTGCATGATCTCTAAAACCTCCTAAATACATTGCAAACGCTTGTTTTCAGTAAAACTTTATATTTTATTTGTTATTTTCTCTACCCTAACTCTGTACAAAGTTGATCAATTTGACCATTTGGCTCATAGTCGGGACAGCACAGATAGCCCACTGGGTAGCTTTGTGCTGAACGATAAACAAACAGATCCTACTGGAGAAAAGATTAAAGTTGCTTTGCTAAAACCATCTGAGGAAACTAAAAAGTTATCCCAACTATAGCAACATCATTATTTTCTATCAAAGTTAGCACAAACCACCTTGGACTGGGAACATTGAAGGCATCCTTAAGAGAAGGGTTTGAAACTAAATTTGGTGGAATACAAAACAGTCCAAAATTGGCCTTAGTTTTAGTTTGTTTTTATGGATCCTCACATTAAGTAGGATTTTTTCAGAGAGCTATAATACTTGGTGGAGAAAGCATTTGACAATGCTAGTTTTACAATCAAATGCGGTTGAAGATAGAGATAGTGAAAATAACATGGATGACTCCTCACCATTAGAGCCACCATCTGTTAAGTTTGTAGAAGAGACGCATGACTTTGTGGGATTGTTACAGTGAAGTATCTGCAGGCACCTATGACATTATTGATATTGATCAAACAGATCATAACAATTAAGTTACTGTCACTAATGAAATTAATTTTATCTCTTACTTTTAAAGTGACAATCTAATTCATTACCGTGGTGTAAGCTAACAAAGACACATGCTATCTCAGCATAAAGATTTCTGTCAAACCTTGGCAGCAGTAAGGATCTGCTCTCATAAGCTGACAACACTGATATGAGGGAAAAAGAAATGGTTGCTTAATAATAAAAGAACACGATATCGTTTACAGCAATTAGTGAAAAAAAACACAGTAAATGGAACAAAATGTCAGAAGTCTGATATCAGAGAAACTAGTTTCAACACCTTTATGCATCCTCTTCAGTCTCAGTCAGAAGACAATGTGAGATTGAAGAAGACACGAATGTGTTGAAACTAGTTTCTCTGATATCAGACTTATGACAGTTTGTTATGTTTACTGTGGGTTTTTTTCACTAAATGGTTGCTTCTACAAAATGTAATCTGGCTATTGTTCATACATCACAACCTTAAACTCCTTAACTTTAAAGTACCGAACAAGGATATTAAAATGAGAAATTGCAGTGAAAAGTTGAATGCTGCAGTGTGCCTTCGTTAAATAAACGATAACATAAAAGAGTGCAATAATGTAAAATAAAAAACATTTAGGTTTACTATATAGTTTTTCTGACAACTGGTTGGTGAAACGTACATTAATAAGAAAACGGTACCTGATGTTTTTCTGAAAAGTAGGGTTGCTTTTCACTAATTCTTTATTAAAAAACTGCAATATTCACTTACCATACAAAAATGATTTCAGTTTACTTCACCCCCAGTGGCACAGCTGTATGTCTGCAGACTTGCGGTGCTAGAAACCGGATTTTGATACTCTTGGTGGGCAGAGCATGGGTAGCCCATTCTGTAGCTTTATGCTTAATTACAAACAAATCAATTTTTGACATAGGAAAGCAGGATTATAAGCTTTGAAAAGTTAAATGTATTTGTGCACACAAATACAAATCATGTTATTGATAACTGATTGTGCGTAATATTTTGTGTAATCTAACTGTGTGTTAGTTTGTTATTTGCAGGTCTGACATCGGGTTTCCCATGGCCCTGGTGTAGACACTTATAAATCTTTAAATCTTAGTTAATTTCTATAGGAAATATTTAAAGGACAATATATTTACAAAAAAATACAGAAATTACCAAAAACAGCAATTCAATAAAACATTAAAAATATGAATCTTGAAAAGTTCTTTTTTGTTTCCTTGTGATTGGTGAATCTGGTGAGCGTATCTTTTGCACACGCCCCCCTCTAGTGTTTGTAATTGGTATTTATAACTTTCCCCCTCTAGTGTTGTACTAGGTGTTTATAATGTATTACCTCCTATAGTAGACGATATGACATGTTCAACTGTTAGGCTTTGAAATATGTACTAATATTGGACAAAATGGCTGAATAGATTGGATACCAAATACAAACTGAACATCTGTTACAACTTCGGAAATAAAAATGTATGACTATCATTAATTTAACTAAGCTGATAAAAAAAATAAAAGAAAGAAAATGAACGAATGTCAAGTAAAGCAAAAAGTTAACAAACATATAAAAATAAAAGGAAATTTGTTTTTAGAAATAATGGGAGATGTGGCAGAAAAGGTTTGGCAAAGGTTAAACCGAATTTCTGGTTTGAACATGTTGAAAAAAAAATTAAATAAACAACAGTGAAAGTAATTGTTATTTACTTATGGTACAAGAAGGTGATGGCCAGCACTCCTTTCACTGTCTGGAAACATCAGAGAGTACATAATATTTATAGACACAAAATAACATCATCTCCTTCAGAGTGTAGGCAGTACTAACACCACTGGTCTTACCATAGCTGAAAGCAAAGAGGATTTAGCTTCCAGACATTTCTAAAGTTAATCTCGCAATGTTATTAGAGTAAGTAGTTAGAAAATCAAAACTAGGTTTCCAATAACATCATCCATGAGAAAGCTCAAAAGTATCCAAGAATGACACACCTCTTGACCTTGTGCAACTAGGATAACTAGCACACAAAGTAAGGTCAGTAATGCACAAGTTGCATATCCTTTGTGTGAAATTCTTTAAGTGGTAAGAAAGTGCATATATTTGAAAAAAGTTTACAAATTGTAGTAAACTCAACAGTTTACTTTTTAACTTATGAGAAACAGAAAATATTGTACGTTTACCGTAAACTTTATTATGATTATTTTGTGTTCATATTTTTTAACTGTGCAATAAAATAATAATGACTTAGTTTAAACTAAGATGTAGGGGCTTTAGGTAAATGGCAACATGGTCAAAACTTTTTCTGTCATATTTGGAAAATTCACAGACAACACATTGAGAGCATCTGTTTATTATGATTATTTTGTGTTCATATTTTTTAACTGTGGAATGAAATAATAATGACTTAGTTTAAACTAAGATGTAGGGGCTTTAGGTAAATGGCAACATGGTCAAAACTTTTTCTGTCATTTGGAGAATTCACGGACAACACATTGAGCTGTTTTAAATCATAAGTCAATTTTGTAGACAAATGTCTACAAATGCTAGAAAATGAGATACTTAGAATTTTGAAAAAATTTTCCTTGGGAGAATCTTACTTAAATACCATGGACTAACTAGAAGTTAAATATACTGTTTGTTTTTGTTTTCAAATTAGTTTGTGGAAGTCTGTTTATGTGTACATTTTTGTTTCAAAACTGTACATAAAGGAATCTGATCTTTTATGTAGATAAGACAAATCCTACTCCATGTTTAGAGGGATGGTTTCATTGTAACAATCAACAATGTATAGATGAATCTTGGACCTGCAATGGCATCAATGATTGTGGAGACTGGTCTGATGAGGCATTTTGTGAAGGTAAATATTTGGTAAAGAAAATATGTACACATGATTAATATGGTGCTTTAATTAATATCGAGGCCCACGTGTGACCTGGACTGTGAATTTGAGGATATGTGGTTCGCATCCTAGTGTCATAAAAATATGCTCAGCACTTTGGTGCCATAGATTTGCTATGAGAGTGATGACCAAATCCACTAATCAGTAAGACAAAAGCAGCCAAAGAATTGGTTCTGGGTGTTGCTATTGACTGATTACATTCCTTGAATAATAGGGAGTCTTTTTCAATGGGAACTATGCTTCAGGGCTAACGTCAAGATACAAAGCCATCAAGTAGAGCATCTTCAGACATATCAACATGAACTGTATGAACATGGTGAGGCTCTAAAATCAATTTAATATAACATTTTAAACCTCTGTACATTCACAACCTCTGTACATTCACATCATAACTTAAAAACTTTCTGTTACAAAAAAGTTATGAAAGTATTTAAAAGGAACAAGTTATACAGATGTCTACATAATAAACACAGAACATTTTTTTTTTTGGGGGGGGGGATCAATTACACATTATTGGAAATATTTATAACTTTTTTTCTTTGCTTAGCTTAGTAAGTATAGTACTAAGTAACCACTGTTCCTGGTTGTATAGTGAATTGGCTCTATTTGATTAACTAAAAGTAATACAATAAAATTCTTGATAGCAAAGAGAATAAGAAAGACTTTATCTTCTTTTTTCTTGTTTATGTATAACTTACATAACAGTAATTACATCTAAGTTACTTAGACCATTTCATGGTTGGGTTTTAGAACTTTTGTGTGAAGATTTACATCTGTGTATAGCCATCCTTAATTTTGAACTGAGCCGGCTGTCATGCCCAATAGCACACAACTCCCTGCTTACTTTCTATAAGCCATTTAGTGTATGAGAACACTGGTTTTCCAACACCCATTTCAACAGTGAACATACAGAAACCCATAGGTGTTGCATTCGGCAACTTGACTGGTGTGTCTTTGTATGAATAACACGAGTACCTGTTTCATTCTTTAGCTGCTTAAGGTATGCAATGGTTGAACAGAGGAGATCCTTTTTGATTTAGTAGTGTACTGTTCTCCATGTGGAAAGATTTTGCTACTGACCTTTGTGTTCAAGGAGTCTCATCTGTTACATTCTTCTTCATGGCTGGACTGTGACTTGTTGCAAGTCTCATTCTGGATGGTCTTGGGACCACAAGTTCATTAACAAAATATATGATGTGCACATGCATTTATAATTGTAGTGTATGAATATTTGACATTAAAAAGGGTTTTATATACTGTTCCCAAAAGCAATGAATTTTTGTCAGTATCATACTACCTATGAAATGACAATGTCAAAATGTTGTTCTGATATGTTCCACTGCGACTATATTGGCCATGGTTATCACGTGACTTGTCAATATGTGTATTTAAAATAACTTTAATATAGTGTGTTTGTAAAGGTATTGGTGTATTAGTAAACTTTGATTACTATATATTTATATTGAAAAATGTATTTCGTCCGCTATCAAATTTTATTTTTTTCACGTTGTTACTTGGCATGACAAAATTGTTTGTGACAATAGTAAAAACAGCTGGATATTCATTGTTAAGAATGGTTTAGGTAACTTGTAATTTATATTAATAGTAAAAGAAATACTTGTTTTTAATGATATGATTAAAATGTGTGTAATATATTGGATACTTGGACAGATAGACTAGTAAGTACATGGTTGTTTTTTCTTTTTACTAAAATGTATTGTTTGAAACTCAACTTTCTTTGTTCACTTAAGAATACTTCATGTACATGATTAAGTGTTGAATATTTATTTTTTGGCAGCTTTTCAGGAAATTGCAGTTATATAATTTTCATTTATATTGCATTATTTATTTTGTTATAACTTAGATCAAGTTATTTTATGGTTTTCAGAAAAATGCAGTGTTACAGAGTTTAGGTGTCACTCAGGAAACAGCTGTATTCCAACAGAAAATCGTTGCAACATGGAACCAGATTGTCTAGATGCCAGTGATGAGCTTGATTGTGACTGTGGTCCTAACCAGACAAGATGTAGCTTCACGTCTTCAAACTGTTATAATGTTGTCACTGAGAGATGTGACAGGTGAGCACAGAAAGTAATATCAGCTCTTGATATTACCGTGATGTCCGTTCTGTCTGTTTTGGTGCACATTTGATATATATTTATGACATAGTAAATCAACTCTTGATGTTACCATGATGTCTGTTTTGGTACACATTTGATTTATATTTATAACATAGTAAATCAGTTCATAATGTTACCATTATGTCTGTTTTGGTACACATTTGATTTATATTTATGACATAGTAAAAGGGAGTTCATTTGTGAGTGTTCTAAGATAATAGTAAAACCTCAACATCTTTCAGTAGGCTAGTAGTTAAAGTAAGGTATTTAGATCAGTTTAGAGAGTTAAGTTTCTTGTAAACTTACATGATGGTTAATTATTTGGTAAAACACTTTTTTCTTATCAAAATTTTAGCAGGTTTTGGAATATTTCACTTAATTAGGTCTCCTTTCTGTATTATTTTACTTCTAAGCTATAAGTAGCATACTTAACTTTCTTTTATATCCCATAAACGTGTTTCAATTGTCATCTTTTTATAACTACATTTAGTATATATGCAATATGTATACCACATAAGATTGTTGTTGTAGTAAGTGCTACAATATCTTAAACTGAAGAAGTAAAAGTATATACAATTACTGTTATTAAGTCTATTTATATTTTGGGTTGAGAAAAAAAAAGTAACTGGTACGTGTGTGTGTTTGTGAAGATATATTTAATCAGTAAAAACACAGGACTAAAAATTGTTTGATTTTTGGGTATTTAAAGCTAAGAATATAAAAAGATTTCCTTGGCTGTGTCCATATTTAACAGCATGAAATTACTGTGGTGTTTTAATTAATAGTACTTATTGTGTTGGAGTTGAAATAACTGAAGGAAGATACACCAATGTAAGAAAAGAGCAGTTCTGTGATATTATTGTTATATGACGTGTGAATGTTTAATGGATTTTAAACTTGAAAAAATCAGCAAGAGCAAAATTTTAATATTCATGGGGTTGGGTGGGGGGTATAATTTTGATAACTTTCTCCAATGTGAGGTTAAGAGTTCTTTGTTTCTTCCAGAAAATTTGATTGTCCTAAAGGTGAAGATGAGATGGGGTGTAGCAAAGACTGTGATAACAGTATTACCTGTTTATCTGGATTTGGTTGTTACACAGTGGAGCAGCATTGTGATGGTAATCCTCATTGTGGTGATTTTTCAGATGAAATGAACTGCGGTAAGTTTTTTTTTCTTCTTTCTTTTGGAACATAAGTTAAGTTTTTTTATTTTAGTGGTTCTTATCGTTCTTGTTTTTGATGTATGATATGATCATTACTACGTATAGCATCTAGAACTAACTTTGCAAAATTGTTATTTAAAAAAAAAAAGGTTTGTGGATTAGGAAATTGTGTTCCACAACTTTTTTTAGATACATAAAATGTTTCTCACTGTCCCTTTTTTTTTTAAGGAAATGCTAATTAATCTGGCCAAAACAGTTTAAATTTTGCACTTTGTCTGAAGCCTATTGTTATGAATTCTAACAAGTATTTTTTCTTATCATATATTCACCATTTTTCTTTAACTATAATTTTGCTTGTCAGTACACATTATAAGCATGCACACTAAGAATTTTACCCAAGAAAAACAGGCAGGTACGTTATGCACTTAAGAACCAGCCTGCCTACTGCAGAGAGCCACAAGATTGAGTGATAAAGTTGCTACAACTGCTCTGTGAATGAAGGAATAACAACAAAAGGTGGATGTAAATATATTTTATTAACCATTTTGTAGAACAACACTAAAAGTCATTGAAAAAGGTCTGATTTTAGTTCATAGAATAAAATTATAAGTTTATTTGTCGACAGTATTAAATACAGTAAAGTTTAGTCCTAACTAAACTAAAGTAAAAACTTACACAGATTACAGTGTTAATTTATCTCTTTATCAAACTTAGGCCTATCATTAGTTAAGGTTTTAGAAAGTACGACGTATATACAAGCGGCCTTACACATCTCGTTTGTATTATTCTAGAAATCCTGTATTTAAAGAATTACTGTTGCAATAAACATACTAGTAGAAATTCACAGATGTTTTGCTGGTCTCTGCAAATTCAGGCCAATTTCCTAAAACTTATTAGAATGACAAGTTTTTTATAATATAAATATTCCTAAGTTGTGAATGCTTTTTTTCTTGAAATGAATATTTGTGAAAAACCTCTGTGATTAATGTTTTTTCTTTGCTTTTTGATAATAGGAATACACTTGTTAATTTGTACCTGAATGGACCAGTAGTGTTAGTATACATTTATAGTAGCATAAATGAGCCACATGTATAGAGACTGCTGTACTTGAAAGCAGTGGTAAATTCCAAAAAGTTAATATACAGTTATTCAAAACTAATATCCCATGTGAGAGTGTACAGGTATTGATGAGTTTTAGTACTTATACAAATATTTTAGTACTTAATTTAATTACATTCCTAGTGACTAATGATATAATAAACTATTGTATTTATAGTCTTTCTTAATTACTATTCAAATATTAAAAAACCTTATCACAGAATCTAATAGAAAAAAAAATATTTTGAAATGTTTGGGATCGGTAGTGGTTTGCTAGAAAAAAGTTATTCTCGTGGATTTTAAAATTTAAATACTCTGAAAGAAATTTAAAGAATTCTTGAAAATGTTCCAATATATATGCATCAAAAAAGCTTAAGAATGACTCTCATTACCTAAAAAAATAAAAAAGCAGGCAAGACAGGTTTTGTTTCTATGGTGTTTGCATGTTACCTGGATAATGAATCCTCGTAGAAATATGTAAGTATTCAATACATGTATAAAAGTAAAAAAACTTCCAGTTCATGTAATCCAACTTCAGATGTCCTAGAAAAAGCTTTCCTGCAATTTAACCAGTTGAATAGTGTTGTTGTAATAAATATGTGCAGTAGCTCACACTTGGAGGGTAGTGTAAAGTGGAGATAAATTGAAAGACTCGTAGCAGAACACGCGTTGTTTACTGTCTAGTCATTTTTCCTACTTATGTTTGTGCCTTTGTGTATACATATTGTAAATCTTCATTTGTAATGCACCCAGATGTTTTAAAACTATGGTGTTTCTTGACTTCTTTTGATTTGTGTATTTTTATAATTGTTGTATTTTACTATATGTTTGAACAACTACACTATTACATGAATATTTCATCTGTTTGTGTATAAGTTTGGACATTTTGGGAAATGTATTTCAGAATGACTTTACCATGAGATCAGAAATTTTTTGTGCATAAGTTGGAAGGCAAGATGTTAAATAGCTAACCTTTTGTGAGGCTGACACTTAGACTGTTGTAGGGTATTTCACTGAATTTTTTTATATTCTTATGTTTGTATGTATCTTCTACCAGATTCTCTCTCTTGTCGATCAGAAAGGGGTGGTTTCCTCTGTGGCAATGGTCGCTGTATACACAACACTTGGAAATGTGATCGTGTAGATGATTGTGGAGATGGTAGTGATGAAAAAGTCTGTGAGTAAATTTCTTCTTCTTCAAATTTTTTTTTTTTTCTGAAATATTGTATTTGTGGAAATAAACTTTAAGTGTGATATCTGAACATTTATCTGTGTTATTTTGTTGGTGTAATGAAACATAAGTTTGTCTTAAAGCAAAATGTGAACTTCATGTTAAAAGTCTTAATATATATAATTTTTTTCATTGATTTAGTTTTATTATGCCTGTGTTGTGCTGTAGTTCTAAGTTCTGATATTTCTTTATAAAGCCACCATCACATTAGGATTGCTAAGGTCACATTTACAGTATATCAGAACTGATAGTCACATTTACAGTATATCAGAACTGATAGTCACAGTTTAAATATATCAGAACTGATAGTCACAGTTACAATATATCAGGACTGATAAGGTCACAGTTACAGTATATCGGATCTGATGAGGTCACGGTCACAATATATCGGATCTGATGAGGTCACGGTCACAATATATCAGAATCAATAATGTCACAGTTACAATATCTCAGAATCGATAATAATGTCACAGTTAAGGTCAAGAGTGGCATCACTTGTAATGTAGTAATTGTTTTGAAATAGAAACCACAATGTTATTATTAAGAAATTACATGTGGTTTTCCCTAAATATCAGTAAAAAATTGAAATTCATTTTGCATTTGATTACATCAAATTGTATGAAATACAAGCATTTTTTGAACTGAGTCTGGGTACTTAATTCTTTGAAAAAAAAAAGATGCATATCAGAAACAGAAAGACTGTGTCACAGTAATAACCTAGTAACTGGAATTGAGACAACTATGTTTTGCCTCACCCCATCAATTAAACATTGAACACATCAACATGGTGAATGATGAAATTACTATACATGTATGATGTATTTTTTTAAAACATAACATGAAAAATAAATATATTCTGGAAAATAACTAAATTCAAATGAGAAAGTTTTCAAATTATTTACTAGTGATATCTTATGTCTCAGATATTTATAACACTGTGTAAATAAATATTATGTTTTATATTTGTTAAATATAATTTTCTACTTTATTTGTCATAGTGTCTGGTAGTCTAAAAATAATCACGTATTCTCCAAATTCACATTTTAGTTTTAGTTGATTGGTATTATCTTGTTTTATGTTTAAAAGCCTACAGACAAGAGAAATATGATTTTAAACTGATCATGTGTACCCCTATACTCTAAGTTCATGATTCAGTTCTGAAATGATTGGTATCACCTTGTTTTGTTAAGCCTACAGATAAAGAAATATTATTTCAAACTGATCATGTGTACCCCTATACTCCAAGTTCATGATTCAGTTCTGATCTGATTGGTATCATCTTGTTTTGTTAAGCCTACAGATAAAGAAATATTGTTTCAAACTGATCATGTATTTTCCAGGTTCACTATTCAGTTCTGATCTGATTGGTATCATCTTGTTTTGTTAAGCCTACAGATAAAGAAATATTATTTTAAACTGATCGTGTATTCTCCAAGTTCACTATTCAGTTCTGTTCTGATTAGTATCATCTTGTTTTGTTAAGCCTACAGATAAAGAAATATTATTTTAAACTGATCGTGTATTCTCCAAGTTCACTATTCAGTTCTGATCTGATTGGTATCATCTTGTTTTGTTAAGCCTACAGATAAAGAAATATTATTTTAAACTGATCGTGTATTCTCCAAGTTCACTATTCAGTTCTGATCTGATTGGTATCATCTTGGTTTATAGACAAAGAAATTGTGATTTTTTGCTATTTCAGGAAGCTGAACTTAGTTATGAAAATAATGTTGTCAACTTTTACCCTAATGAATATTTTTTAATTAAAATTATTGTTTGTGTGCATATATTTAGTTCTCCCACCATTCTTACTGTCACACAGAGAAGTGAAATATGCTTGAGAGAAAATAAAGTTCTTTACATGGACTAGCATCATCCAGCTGAGTTCAAGCAGTTCTGGAATAAACATGAAATTAATTCTCATATTTTATAGTCCCTCGGTGGGACAGCAGTAAATGTATGGACTTACAACCCTAAAATCCAAAGTTTGATTCCCCACGGTGGACACAACAGATAGCCTAGTGTCACTTTGCTCAAAAACAAAATAAAGAAATAAAACACATTTTATATGATATTATGTCTCTTAATAACTTGCTTTTTTTATGAGAAAATATTCATTGATGATAGGTCCATAATGCTTAGTAAACCAGGAATTTTTTTTAAATGTGTAAAAGTATTTATATTCTTGAGATTTTTTTTTATAACAAAGGTTTACCAGAATTGATTATTTGGGGTCAAATAGACAATAAAGCAGTCTGTATTACCAAACTAAAATAATTAATTCTGAATTGTTAATTAATTGTCATGTCGATTTCTAAGGTGTCGCCCTTGTTTTTAACTTTTTCATAGGAAATCCTGGATATAAAAGTACTACATAAAAAAAAAAACATCCTAATGTATTATCTTAAATCCTTGTTTCATGCTTTTCAGTTGTTAACCTTATTTATTTAATGTAGATACTTTTGTCTTTATATAGTAATCTTTCATCATCAAACTATTCATAAATTTGTTATTAGGCTATGAGTACTTGATATATAACATATTTCAAGATAGAGAGCATACTACACTTATAGGTACTGCTTAGCTAAATGCCTAACTAAATTTCATAAACAAGTTTCTCTTTTTTGAACCAAACAACAAGAGTAGAATTTCTGTGTTACTTAGCAACAACTAACTATTTCATGTTAACATGGGTCCAAATATTATACTTAGCAACAACTAACTACATTAACATGGGTCCAAATATTACAAACAATGAATTTATTTTGTTCTAGATTTCTTAGGAAATTTCTAAAAAAAAAGAAACCCAATAAAAAAAATATGTAAAATATAGCAACAGAAATTGGGCATAAGTTTTTAATTTTTAGCTTATAAGATTCGTTAAGTTTGAATGGAGAGCCTTTTGTAACTAAACCAACATTCAGTAAGCATTATTCTAAAGTTGAAGAGACTGAAATTATTATCTAACATTTTTTAAAAATAAAGCCCATCTGCTTTTAATGATAAATTGTAATTTTTATCTTGTATACTGTGTGACATGACCGTTTATTAGGCGTTATCTTGTATATAGTTAGAATGAAAGTTCTAAGTGAGGAGAAGATGAATTGACTTTGGTTTTTCCATAATTTTTATCTTGTATAGTGTGTGACATGACCGTTTATTAGGCGTTATCTTGTATATAGTTAGAATGAAAGTTCTAAGTGGGGAGAAGATGAATTGACTTTGGTTTTTCCGTAATTTTTAAATAAACGGTCATTTTACACAGTATAAAAGATAAAAAGTACGGAAAAACCAAAGTCAATTCATCTTCTCCTCACTTAGAACTTTCATTCTAACTATATACAACATAACGCCTAATAAATGGTCATGTTACACACTATATAAAAAAACCAAAGTCAATTCATCTTCTCCTCACTTAGAACTTTCATTCTAACTATATACAAGATAACGCCTTATAGTTAGAATGAAAGTTCTAAGTGAGGAGAAGATGAATTGACTTTGGTTTTTCCATAATTTTTATCTTGTATAGTGTGTGACATGACCGTTTATTAGGCGTTATCTTGTATATAGTTAGAATGAAAGTTCTAAGTGGGGAGAAGATGAATTGACTTTGGTTTTTCCGTAATTTTTATCTTATATACTGTGTACATGACCATTTATTAGGCGTTATCTTGTATATAGTTAGAATGAAAGTTCTAAGTGAGGAGAAGATGAATTGACTTCGGTTTTTCCGTAATTTTTATCATTTCGAGCTGTGCACTTATGAGCACAAATTGTACATCCTTTACCATTTACATATTAATTCTTTCACTGCCAATTTTAAACTATTAAAAGATAAACTATTGTCCCAGTGCTAGGATTATTTTTAGATGCACACAAAAAATAAGACATATGGTTTAATATTTCATTATTTACTTTAAACTGTTAAACACTAGGGAGTTTAAAAAGGAATACCTTTTCTGTATGATGGTACAAAATTCCAAGCTCCTATGGCAGTGCTTAGCGAAGGAGAAGCGTACGTGCATGAAAGAGTTAATTAATATGAACATGACTTTAACTGTGAAACTTTTATCCTTCACAGCACTGCTAACTACACAGTAGTTCAGTTTATTTCCAGTAATCACTACAGGGTAGATTTTCGTTTTTTGTGTGTGTAAGTTAAATATTATAAGAAATTAAGATAGCATTTTAAAGTACTTTTTATACTGATTTTATTACGATAATATTTTGTTATCTTTAAGTGCGTTTATATTTAAAGAATTTCAGTTCATCAGAAACATTCAATGGAATATGTTTGATTGGGGTTTTTATTGTTTTTGTTTTATTCTGGTGGTACATTTTTTTGTCACTAGCCAAGCATTTTAACAGTTTATTTTCTATGTTAGTCATGAGAGATATTTTGTTCACTGTTTAGGTGTGAAGAACAGTGTTATTACAGCAGCTGTAATGGGCTCATTAATTTGTGGCCTGTTACTGGTGGTTGCTGTTAGTTGCATGTGTAAACTTTTTGCCCTGCGGTACTTGGAACATCATCCAGATTATTCTAGACAGACTCCACTCTCACGACTGGAGCAAGAGATCATGTATCGAGAGCCTCCACCATCCTATGCTGTTGCAGTTAGCCACGACAGACCCGATATACCAAATCTGAATTCACGTCGATTTCGGTCACAGCAGATCCGAAGAGCTAGAAGACTATCACGCACTCATCGACAAACACAGCGTTCACCATGCAGTTTGATCAATAATACCACTCTTGTGGAGCCTTCTCCAGCATCTTCACAGAGGCCTCTTTTATCTTCCCCTTCTTTAAGTCCCTCTGGTAGCACACAATCGAGATCTAGTTACCATTCCCAGACATTAGAAAATACAAGTGAAAGTGATGTAAGTATATCAACAACTACCACTTTTGTTCATAATTCGGATTACGAGGGAGAACGTGCTTGTATTGCTGACAATCAGCGGAGTGTCCGTAAAAAGTCTTCCTCCTCACAGCAGACTGTGCTCCCACTGTCTTCAAGGTCAGTAAAGTATGACCAGGAGTCTGAGATGGATTCATCTTGTGTAGCTCAAAGGGAAGAAGGCAGCAGTGGCAATAAAAACAAACCTCAAGGAAGTAGTGATGAATGTATCCAAATTGACCTAGGAAGACTTGACATTCATCACTCTTGTGAAAGTCTGACCTCAGCAGTTGAAAATTGCAACCCCTCTGATACAATGCCATTAATATCGTAACAAAGAATTTAGTAAGGAAGTGATACTTCTGTATTTCAAAAATTATGATTACCGTGTCTACTACTGACAAATGTTAATATATTAATGTCAACATAAATTTATCCAACCATTATTGAAGCTTCTTTTAGCAGATGAGGTATGTTGCTATTAAAACTTCCCAGTGAATTGCTTGTATTTTTATTGCTGCTTCTCAATGTATGACCTCACTGTTCACAGATCTCCCACCCCCCATACACATGCACTTTTTTCTTCTTGTAAAGATCCTATCAAATGGATTATTTCTAAAATGAGGTAAATAGGTTTTACTACATATGTGTAGTGATTAAGTAGAAGTAAAATATAGTACAATATACACAAGAACTATATTTTTATATGAAGAGTAACAAAAACAAGGTCAGACTTGCTAACTTCTGTGATAAATGTTTTAAACATATATCTGTAGTCCATGTAATTAGTAAATTACAATATGTATGATTTTGTGTGTGTGTTTATTAGAAACATATGTACAAGTCTGTAGATAAATGAAAGAGGTCAGTATCAAGTTACATTTTTTAACTCTGAATGTGATCTAAGATGTCAACTCCCCATATGTTGCCAACTTTTTAGAAAACAAAACAATAATTCCTTTCATTCTAAGTTTAAATATTTAAAGTATAAATCTTTAATACTCCCTTATGTAGTGCTAGTTATGCAAAAGAAGTCCTTGATTTTTATTTTTTGTTGTTTCTGGTACTGAACATGCAGGTACCAAACATTTGTCAAAATACTAAACTGTGACATCAACATTCTGTTATGTTTTAAGGTTTATGGTCATTAATTAATATTTAAACAAGTTTCACATATTTTTTGATAGATTGCTTAAGCAGAGTATTCATGATGAAATTTTGTAGAATGGAGGGCAACTGCCTGTTGTAGAGGATGATGTTTCAAAAGTTTTCTGTCTTTCGTCTTCAGGACCTGAAGACGAAAGGTGGAAGACAGACTTTCGAAACATTGTCCTCTACACTTGTCTCTACAACACACAGTTGACGTACATTCTACAAAGTTTCAAGTTTCACATATTTAATAAGTATGAGTAATAGGAATTAATGTTCTAGAAAAGTCACGGATTTTATCAACTGAGAATATGATCATAACAATATTTATAACTTTAATTAATGTAGAGTGCTTGTCTAACAATGTTATAAGAATTAATTTTATTACCTACACCACCAAAGATTGTGTTTGTCAGCAAGATTTCTCAAATAGATGAATGTATTTTGGCAAAAGTTGGTATTGGACTGTGACCAAACTTAGAAGTGATTAGTTTTAGGCAGATCAAGGTCACGAAAAAACAAAGTATCTGTTAACACGGGGACTGATTTTTCACACTATTTTTGCTCTATAACTCAGTCAAAAACAATTGGATTTTGATGAAACTTGGTGGGCACGTGTAGAATGTTATTCCTCATTATCCTGCAAAAAATGGTCTGTGTCCATTGGTAATGACAAACAAACACATTTTTGTATTTATTTAGGGCTGAATTTGATCAACACTGTGTGGTGAAGGTATGCGTTGTACTGGGTGCCCCTCTAGTTTAAACTAAATTTTCAGTGTATCGTTGGTAGGTAACAGAGAAAGCAAGCACACATTACTGTGTGACCAGGTTATAGGGAGAAGATATAGTAACATTTGCCCACCCACAAGGATATTTCTTGTACACTTAGAAAAGTATTTTAAATAATTACTTTCAACTTCAGTAGGCTGCAGATTTAAGACATTGCTTATTTGGGAAAATCAAGTGCTCAAAATATAACTGCTGAATTTAAAAGTTGTCATTGTTTAAACTACTCGTATAGAATGTAAGATACATTTTATCAAAACAATCAAGGAAAAATTGTATTCCAAATACAATAGATACCTATTTTAAGTTGTTGTTTTTATTATATTTTAAGATGCATAAAAAGTGTTTTGGCAACAAATTTAACCTTCCTTATGTTTGTTCCTGAAGTTTGTGTATATTTTGTTATCACTTTGAACCAAACATATATATATATATATATATATAT